ATTACATTCGTTCCTGGTATAAAGATTTCTTTTGTCTTGAAAAAAAAAAAAAAACTTTTTTTTTTTGCATTTGTGTTAAATCATATGGATCAAACAGACGAAACACCTGAGAAACTTTGTGAACTTGGTTGGCAATATTTGTATGGTATAAATGTTAAAATTGATAAGGATAAAGCCAACAATTATTTTCGAAGTGCAGCTAATAAGGGTAATTACTGTGCACTCGGTTTTTGTTATCAAAAAGGAATTGGAGTTGAAGAAGACGAGCATAAGGCATTCATTTATTATCAAAAATCTGCAGAGATGGGTAATGCTCTTGGAACAAATAATGTTGGATCTTGTTATCGAAATGGAATTGGAGTTGAACAGGATAAACGTAAGGCATTCATATATTATCAAAAATCTGCAGAAATGGGGCACGCTGAAGGAACATGTAATGTTGGATATTGTTATACAAATGGAATTGGAGTTGAAAAGAATGAATATAAAGCATTTGAATATTATTTAAAGAGTTTTGAACAAGGGAATCCTTGTGCTATGCATATTATTGGTCGTTGTTATAAAAACGGAATGGGTGTAGACAAGGACGAAGATTTAGCTTTCGAATGGTATTTGAAATCTACTGGCATTAAACATGTATGTGTTGGTAAAAAGGACTATTTTCATTGGGTATCATATGAAAATTTTAAAAATATTGAAGAAGTAGGTAAGGGAGGATTCTCTATAGTATATAAAACGTTTTTTGAGACATCCAAGGAAGTTGCGATTAAGATAGTAAAAAATTCGCATAAAGATGAAAAACTTTTCTTAAACGAGGTAATTTTTTTTGTAAATAGTTGAGTTTAGTTTAAACGTAGTACTGTATATCAGATATTAACATGTATTTTTTTTTAGTTGAAAGCCTGTCATAAATTTAATAAATATATTGGTATATCAAAAGATAAAGATACTGGTGATTATATTCTAGTATTGAATTACGCTAAATATGGATCATTACGTGATAATCTTAGTAACGTATTTAAATTGGATTGGGAGATTAAATTATGTATTTTGTTTGCTATTATTTCTGATCTTAAGCGTATGCATTACAAAAGATTTATACATCGAGATTTACATTCGGGAAATATTTTATTAACGGATGGATACAAAGCTTATATTGCTGATTTGGGTTTAACGATATCATTTGATAAACAGGAAAAAGGTAAAATTTATGGTGTTTTACCATATATTGCACCAGAAGTCATGCGAGGAGAACCGTTTTCTTTCGATTCAGATATTTACGCATTTGGTGTTATTATGTCCGAGATATCTTTAGGACAAAGACCATTCGATGGATATGATTTTGATGTTAATCTTGCACTTGCAGTTTGCAATAAATTACGACCTGGATTCGCACCTGGTACTCCCGAATGTTATGTTAAATTGGCAATGCAATGCATGGACATCGATCCTAAAAAGCGACCTTATGCTTGGAATATTTATAAAATAATTCGTGAATGGAATAATAACTTACGTGATCTAAACAATAACGAAATTAAACAGCAATTCTTGGAGGCTGATGAAAAATTCAAGGAATTGCCAATTGTAGCAAAGAGACATCCAAATGATTCTTATACTTCAAAACTTATTGATATACAAGTAATTACCAACAAATTAAATGATTTAAATCTTAATGATGAATTTGATCCAAGTAAAAAAGTTGAATTTGATTTTGATGATTAATCTATCTAGAAGCGCAATTACAACATGATGTTAACTTACACTATAGAGAACATGGTTTTTAATAAATAAATTAATAATACGTTTTATTAATGATAACACCTATACTGCATGTAAAACCTTATCCATAGATAATGTTCTGACCAATTACATGAATGTTGCAAAGGAGCAATCAGTTTTTTAAGCTTTAAACAACAAAATTTCTTGGTAGTTCAGTAGTTACCTATCTAAAACTAAATTAAGTATTACAACGGATTTGTGAAATACCCCAAAATTTGAAAATTTTAACCACCGATTGTGAGTCATTTAATTGGCTTATATATATATGTAATGTAATTATTCTGATCTAATGATGATATTTTTAAATTTTTGTTATCCATAAAATACCGTCAATTTTGCTGACGATAATTGCAAGTTATTAAATTGTACGTTCGTACATATATGTAATGATAAATTTAAAATGGGTCATCTAAATTGTACAACCATTTAAAATGAGTTGTGCTAATGGGAAAATGTGTTAGACGTATGGAACACATTGTTCTGTTGTTATTATAGGTCGGAGTGCAAATGATTTTTTTTTTAAGAGGTTCAATCTTAAAAAAATAATTAATAAATTTTGTCCCTAAAACTTACATTTGGGGATCAAAAATTAGTTAACTTTGACAAATGCGCCGTAATAGTTAAAAAACTTTTCGTCAAATTTAAATAGTTCTCAGGAAATCTTTATTTAAAATTTAAAAAAATATATAATAAATAGCTATCATAATAGAATTTATTTAGCATACAGTAGAGGTGAAATTCACCACGATATGTCTTTAGCTATTATTCTATGAACGTCGCTAAATGAAACCATACACATTTAAATATAGCTATATAAATGTGTATGTTTTCTTTTAGCGACGCTCATATGATCTATAGAACATTTTACCACAAACTTTAAGATTTTTTTAGGGTGCTCGACATTTTTACTTAGTATACCAAATAATTATCAATGCCGTTTTTGAGAAACAACATACTCGGTAAAATTCACCTTTGATAGAGACATAATTAGTTACTATTTTGTAATTAATCAAATAGTAATCTCTGTATCTAATGTTAACAAATAGAATGGTTTGAATATATATTTTTTCAATAATTTAATATAATCAATTATAAAAAAATTTATAATATAACAATAATAAAATAAGCATCGTACAATAGAACAATAGAATTCCAACACTTAATATGTGATTATATTGTTAAGTTCCAAAGCAATAAATCGTGTAAAAAGGCATACTTAAAGTCAACATAAACATTCGGTGTATCTAAACCTTTAACATTTTATATTATTTCTTGTGTGATTTTAACCTTTCTACGATATAATATCTAGAAAGTTTTAAAGTTTTACGTAATAAAATAGAATCAACTTGGTTACACAATAACGTATAGAATCACCCAACAACAGCACATGTCAACGTTTATGAATATTATTGGTCTGAAAATGATTTACAACACAAACAAAAAGATGCAAAAAGAAAAAAGTTGAAATTGGTTACAAATAGAATTAAGAAACTGCATAGCATAATATATAATAAATATACAGTAAACTCTGTCCTAATTCGAAACAAAATGCTAATCTGATATTTTCGTTTATCTCCACTATATAGCATACAAGTTTATAGCATACAGATTCCTTACTATATGCGGACAAAAGGGGTAGAGTCATGCTCGAATTTAATAATATTCCATCTTAGTGAGGGACCCGCGAATAACTGTAACATTTGCCAAGACTCAGTACAAACTTAATTTGTAAAGACGTACAAGTATCGGTATGTGACCATAATCGGAATGTACGTACGTGTAATCTGCAATGGTAACGGTAATCAAAAAAATTTTGTCCATTGTTTTATTTTGTATAAATAAAGTTTGGGTATAAGAACGTACGTACGTACAGTACATACGTACTTTGTAAAAAGAGGAAAATACATATTTATATTTTATTTAAAAAATCTTTTTTAATTTTCAAATTTTTTTTTAGTTAAGTTATAAATTCATTACAGTATGTCTGATAAAACTAAAAAAGTAAAGGTTACGATTGAAACTTCACCAGAGTTTTTAGACAAAATAATGGATGCTATTAATTCAGTAAAATCAAATTCCGTTATTAGAATAATCGGTGAAACACTTAAACCGATGATACCAATGCTAGAATCTGCATTAGCATTAATAGATGAAATAACCCAAATATTTGAAAAAGCTCAATGTAATAAAAATATTTGTAGAATATTAAAAGATCGTATTATAGCTGCAGAAGCTGTAGTAAAACTTTTACAGCAAAGAGTAGAAAAGGGTGAAAAACTTGATAAAGTTTATCAACAAACTTTTTTAAGATTCAAAAATTCTTTAGAAAATATTAAAAACTATACTGAAGAAGTTTCACAAATTCAAGGCATTAAACGATACCTTAATGTTCATGAAATTAAGGATAAATTTCTTCAATTAACCAGTGAATATGATACTTGTATAAAAGACTTAAACTTTACGATGAATGTTTCATATGAAGAACAAAGAAGAATTGATCAAAAATGTTTAGAAACAGACATTAATCTAATGAAAGAGGTACGTTTGCATAGCATGAATTCACTGATACTTATGTGATACTTATGTGATACTTATGGGCATTCGATTGTAACCAAGAAATTTTCTTTCTTTTTAATTATAGTTTTTAGAAAAAATTCAAACAATATTTGATGAAAATTTTAAAATCCTTTCACAAGAAGTGAACGTTCGAAATCCAGAACTTAAAGGTTATAAATACAATCCAGGTATAAAAGTCCATGAAATTGATCCGGCTATGATAAAAGATCCTGCTTTGGGCAGTGAAACAGATAGCCGAGGTAAATTAAAGAAAGTAGTAAAAAGAATAATTAAAGATGGAGTAGAAATTGCGTGTAAAAAAATTGAAATCCCCACTGAAAAAGCAGCTAGCGAAGAATACCAAAAGAGTCTCCGTTATTTACCTATATTGGAAAAGTTAGGTGAAAGTACAAATATTCTTAAATTTTATGGATTATCAAAATTAGATACGAGGGATGTTATGGTGTTTGAATGGGCTGAATTAGGAAGTTTAAAAGAAGTTTATGAAAAAGGTTCCATTTCTTGGCAGACGAAAGCAAATATTGCTTATGGTATCTGTAGTGGAATTGTATTTTTACAAGCTCTCAAAATTTTTCATCATGATCTTCGGTGTCAAAATATAATGGTGAGTAATACATTATCTGTATCCATAGAGATAAAATGTATACTGTATTCATATTTTTTTTATATTTGATGAGTCGATAGATTACACGTTCTTTTGAACCCAAAATATCAAATTTTAAATATTCAAGAGGGCACGATCAATTTTCAACAGACATTGGAAATAAATATTTAGACCTCCTTAACTGGATGGCTCCAGAAAAGATGCAAAAATACAAAATAAGCGTAAGTGGAAAATCTCCAAAAACAGATTCTGAATTATTCCCATATACACAAAAATGTGAAATATTTAGGTAACTATAAACATGTTTTTTTTTTAATTTTACCGTAATAATTATCGCTAATACACCTTATATATATGTAGCTTTGGAATGTTGTTATGGGAATTGACTTATCAATCGATTCCTTACAAAGATGATAGTATGCAAAGCATCATCGAAAATGTCATTGCTGGCAAAAGAGAAAAATGCAAAATTGACCCAGATTTAGATTCGGAAAATGATTTGATTCAAAAAAATCTCATAGTTATCATTGAAAAAGGTATGATTATTGAGATTAATTTTTCAAAATGTTTTACCTAATTGTGTAAAATAGATATTGACATGTTTGCTTAACGTTAAATAACAGCATGGGAACATAATCCAGATGTAAGAACGAGTCTTGAACAACTTTATATAGACATATCAAATTTGTCTAAAAAAGTCATTCCGGGTAAAGATCCTGCCCTTTTAACCATAAACCAACCTGATGGCTCTCATGAGGATGAAGAATCAGAATTCAATGATCTTTATATCACTGATTATTCAGGTTTTGAATTTGAACAAATTCCATTAGTTGAAGAAGGCGTAAAATTACATAACACGAAAAATAAAGAAAATAGAAAAAAGGCCTGGGAATGTTTTAAAGCTAATGCTGAATCAAATAATGTGTCTGCAATCTATTGGAAAGGGTATTATTTACAAGAAGGTCATTATACTGATGAGAACAGAACTGAAGAACAAAAGAAATGTGATAAAGAAGAAGCCATGAAACTTTATAAAATTGCTGCTGATAGAAATCATCACGATGCACAATTACGTTATGCTCATTCATTACCAAGAGTAAAAGAGTATCGTGATGAATTTCTTAAATATCTAACATTAGCTGCTGATAATGGAAATTCCGTCGCTATGTATACTTTAGCCGATATGTATTTAAATGGTAAAGTTATCGAAAAAGATTGGGAAAAAGGTGAAAGATATTTAAAACTTTCTGCTGCTTGCAAAAATGATAGGGCTCTTGCAATGGCACAAACATTGGGTATAAAAGCTTTTTAAATTATTTTTTTTGGCATTATTCATCAGGTTATATATTTTTTAAACATTTTGGATATCTTTTATTTATTTGAAATTTTGATAGTTGTATTTACAATATAGATAAATTTTATTTATTTGAAATTTTGATAGTTGTATTTACAATATAGATAAATGTATTTATTGATGTTAAACGCAAATAAAGTAGTTCTTTTACTGTCATGTGCTTTTTTTCTTTGTAATATTTATAGTTTCATAAATTATAATTCCTAAGTAAGCCTTTGATCGAATACTTGAAACTTACAATAATTAAAGAGAGATAAGTAGTCTAAAACTGTACAAATATTTATTATAATCAGCTTTTAACTAAATCCAAACATTTTCAGTATCTTATTCTGTCATCATTGCTTGTATTATATATTTATATCGAAAGGAAGAAATTTCTGTATTTTTTAAAGAATTACTTACACTACTTACACCTATGCTTGTAAGGGCTTTAATAGTAAACGCAGTAACTTTTATGTCTATAAATTATGATTTGCTGGTTAAATTATTTTCAAAATTAAAAATTTCGCTGTAATTATAAATTTGGGAACTAATTATTTCTATTCAAATAACTACAAATAATTATCAAATTTGAAAATTTTCTAAAACGTTGTTACTTTATTACTAAAAATAACAAAATATACATAAATTACAAGCTCGTTTAAATAATAATTACAGATTTGCAAAGATCGTACTGTTGTAATAAAACAATATTTTTATTTAAAAGTTAAAATACAAATTAAAATACATATAAAAAGATTATAATATTTTCGTATATAAAAAATTCTTATAATTCTTGTTTAATCGATACTGTCGCGATGTTTTCGTTATTTAATTCTCAATCTCTAAAAACAATAAAATAAAATAAAAAGATGAGAGTGAGTATTTGAAATGACAAATGCCCTTATTCAGGGTCTCCGGGTATGACATGTCAACCTGGCTAAGTAACGGAAGGGCATCTCGACAAAAAGAATGCCTGACACCCTAACTAGAGTATTCCCAGTGGACAAACTTTTATAATGGTGATCCGTGTGTTTCGTCTGACTGGGATATACTACCGCCATGAGTAACCTAAAGTCTAGGAGCGATACCCAGAGTTATGTTATATATTAACGTGAGATCAAATACTCCATACTCACCACAAGCGTAAATAACATCCACAAGATCTCTTCATATTTAGAATATTTAGACATGCAATGTTCATTCGAAGAACAATTAAGGTGAATAAAAAAAATGTAATATAAAAAATAAAGTAAAAGTGTGAAGTAAAAACTAAAGAAATAACAATGAAAAGTAAAACGAAAAGAAGTGAAAACGAAAAGTGAACCGAAAAAAAAATAAAAACAAAAAGTAGTAAAGAAGTGAAAACAAAAAAAAAAGTGAAAATGAGAAGTGAAACGAAAAGTAAAACGAAAATGAAAAGAAAAAACGAAAAGTAAAACGGAAATTAAAACGGAAATTAAAACGAAAAGTAAAACGAAAAGTGGAACGAAAAGAAATAAAAACAAGTGAAAACGATAAGTAAAACGAAAACAAAGTGAAAACAAAAAGTGAAACAAAATGAAAACGAAAATGATGAAAAAAAAGTTGAAATGTTTCTATTGTTTTATGTGTTAAGATAACGAAAAAAAACTAAAAGTTTGAGTGTTTATATATTAAAAATATCTTGTTTTGGGATCTGCCATACACGTATTAAAGCGTGGGGGACTTCTATATATAATAACTTCCTCGTGATTGGTTGATCACATAAATAGAATATCGTGTCACTTTGCAACTGGCCAATCAAAATTATTAATTTATAATATCGATTATCGTGACTGAGCAGGATGATCTAATTTCAGGAGCTAATTTCAGTCAGGTGCAACTTCGACAGCACCAGGGCGTAGGATCGATTTTACGGTCACATGATTTCCCGAGCTCAATTGACCAATTAAAAATCAGGATCTGGTGTAACGTAAAAAAACCAAAAAACATTCGCTTTCGTTTATTTCAAAACTTTTATTAGTAACCTTAAAATACTCACGAACCCTAACATAAATCTGCCTTTTTGTTCGAAACTATAGGCCTCGGAAAATCACATGATCGGAAAATCGATCCTACGCCCTGTCAATCTGTGCAACTTCAGGCGACATTGATACGATAAATAATACAGTATTATTCGTCCTAACTAAAAACTTGAAATAATATAATACACGACAACTCAATATTAGAAATAGACTAAACCGATTTAATACGATTTAATTTAGACCGAAAAATTATAATGGTCATATAAAATTGTAATAAATGATATTTTTTTCATCAAATATCAAACAATAGTTATAACCTCTCGTAATACATAATAAAGTTATTTTAAAAAACCACGAATGAATGATGTAGAACTTATTTAGGCCAAGTTAAGTTGATTCTCTGTTTAACATAAGATGACTTGTAAAAGGGGCAATATTAGATACAAATTAATGCTGCAACATTATTGGTTAATTTGATGTGTATTAACCTCTATAGATTTTTGAAAAATAGAGGTCATGCAACGATTAATGTCATGAAATTTGTTTTGTCGGAGCAAATGATGTTATCGTGCAATTATGATCATGATTTACGAGTCGTGGTTGGCTAACTGAGTTTTAATTCAGGATTGTTGTGAGTTTGCACGATAATGTATAGTTATTGGATGCGAAGCAGCCAATAACGGAAATTATTTGGAAAATAATTTCATTATCTGGCTGTGAA